ACCCATTTATATCCTACTGGCTTTACACCTTCAGGTGTTTGGACTACAGGTCCAAAAACTTTTCTTTTAACCAGTGAGTCCAATTCAGATTGGATCGCATCTTTCCATTTTGAACAATCATTTCTATACCGACATTCATCAACCGATTTAGATTCATGATTCTCATCAATTTCTATAATATCAAGTGCTACATTTCATTAGGCTCCAATTAAATTTTTTTTTTTTTATGATTTCATTCTCTTCAGGAGTTGGCTCTTCAGGAGCAACCTCTTCAAGAGGTTGAATTTTGTCATGACATTTAATCTCCAGAGATATTTGAAATCAATTTATACCTTATTTAGATAGGCCGGCCTTAAATTTATTTGTAGCACTTGTACATGTTCTTCAGGGACATCAATTTTAACCAGAGTATTTCCTGCAGGAATAGTTGATTTAATGGCTCTTCTGGAGTCGATAAATATATCTGACAATTGATTTGCAGTTTTCAGCAAATGAATAATTTCTTGAACTTCCAGTTCACGTTATTTTGTATGAGGATCGAGGAAATCTAATTTTTTTTAAAAATGATTTCCTTTCGGTTGATCTTTTCCTCCCCCTATTGTCGGGAATCGTAACTCATCAGAATAAATAAATCATTTAATAGATCACCCATTAAATATTTTACGATATTTAATCGTAAAAACTGATTCATACCCGACATAAAAATTAAATTTTTTTTTGGAGCCATATATAATATAAAGGGGGTATGTATAAACATTTGTCGGCTCTCAAATATTTTCACTTTCGTTAAATCAGGTATTCATTGGGATCAGTAAACTTCTGATTTACTGCAGGTGATAATTATAAGTCAAATGAAAATGAAGACAACTATATCGATAACCATTTCTCTCTCGAATGGTTATTATGATATAATTAACCTTTATCTCACTTGATTTCTATACATGATCTCTATTGTTGTCTCATTTAATATCTCAATTTGATATCCATTTCAACGGATATTCAAATTCAATAAATTTTCGAGACATGATAAAAAAATAGTACTTTATTCATAATAAACTTTTTTCCTACAGGGAGAAATATAGTAGTGGCTCTTCTGGAGCTTTCAATCACTTATACACTACAACTGATTGTATTTGTCTCTCTCATTGGAATATAATGTATATAGTAGCACTTATTAATGAAACACATATCATTGTCACCATAATTCTTATGGGACAAATATCATCACCATAATTTTTTTTTTAATCCCAAATATTTAACATTCATTTCATCTTCAGGAAGAAAAGCTAATTACTATCATAAATTAAATCAAACATCATACACCTTCAGGGTGTTTAAAGAAATTGGCCATGTGAAGGTACGATTATAATTTTGATTTGTCAAATGTACTTCAGGACATTTATCTTTAGGACCTTTATTTTCTTGTCCTTATCATTATTATCCCACTTCAAGTGGTAATTTTTTCTCTTGTCATGGTAAAATATATATTTACCAAAATCATAGTCATGACAACAACCATAACTAATAAATTGAAATTTAGTCGCATTCACTTCTGGGAATGGACTAGAACTAGCATGCAATAAGTACAAAATACTTCTCAAAATTTCTCTCAATATTGCTACTACAGGAGCATATTCGAGAAATCAATTGTGGAGAGTATTATTTTTAATATATCTTATGAGTAAAATTTTCTCAACACAATTTCAACTGAGAAGTAATTCTAAAAATTGCATAATTATGTTCTTGTAGCCACAGGTAAATTTATCATACCAGGCTTTTGAAATAATGACCATCTTCTAGTGGCCAAATATTTTCATTAAAGAACGACCATCTTCAGGTGGTCGAATCTTTTTCTTTAAATATTTCAAAGGACAAGTAGATCCTCAAATATAATTGATTTTCTATAATAACATCTCTAAAACTCAATGCATCAGAATATAAGTATTTATAACGAATAATTATAAAGGTAAACAAGTAGAATTAAAAGGAGAAATATTACCTCAAAGATATCAAACAATATATGTTTGTGTTTAGTGGTTGTTCAACAGTAGGTACTTGTATTTTGCGATAATTCAAATGTTAGCCATAAGAAATTGAAATAAGTTTATGAGTTAGAAATTTACCTCAGAATTTTCTTGAAGAAATATGGACAGAATTTCGACAAAATCTTGTACTTCACCTTTGTTCAAGGTAGAGCCCCCGTTTTCACCTTTTGCTCAAAAGTAGAGATTTCGTGCTGATAACGTGTTATAAAACTAATCAAATAAGCTACTATAATATCAAGTGAAATATTGGAGAAAGAAGTAGAGAAATGGAGAGTAATATTCTTATATTCCAATAAGATACAAAAGTCCTCCCAAAGGGTCTCAATGTACCTCTATATATAGACACTACAAGATTAAAGGTACATAAATCCTATTAAACATCCATTACTACAATAATATGAAGAAACGGTTTCTCCACTATATGAATGGATTTATGAATTGTAACTTATATACATAAGTAGCCATAAAATCATGAATTAATCCCCTTGGGAATACAAAGGGACATCCACATTTTTGTTATTTCATAACAGTGATTCCTTTATTGGTCTTGTTGCTAGTTGTCTATTCAGCTTGTTCTTTAGTCAAGTGTTCCATCATGTCGAAACAAGCAAATCCCTATGTAGACTTAGACCAATTGGAAGCAAGTAATACACATTGTCTAATTAATTTCATGCGATTTGGCAACTTAAACACGGTATCTCTAATTCGGCATGCAACTTGGGGACAATATATCAAAAGTCATCTACAATTTCATTATGATATTTGAGAATTTGGCTATTTTTTTTATATATAAAAAAAATGAATTCAATATTCCAAGAAAGAATAACAATATATAAACGAAAACTAACAAACAAATATGATAGCTAGCTCCATCTGGTAGATACAGGTGGACATGGCTTCAGTTTTTATATCCGGAATCTGCAGAAAATTGCAGTCCAAATTTATTGGACAAATTTTTACTATTCCGCATCAAAATTGTAATACATACTAATTTACGGATTCGTTTTCTTACACAAATCCAAGAACCCCACTGTCAATTTGAATAGAGAGTGTTTCTTACTAAGTCCTTTGTTTGACATTTATAGTTAGTAGCATTTGATTATTTGTATTTTTCTCTTGAAGAATCTGCAAGGTACACGAAAATTATGAATGCTGATTTTATTTTATTTCTTTCTACTTTAAAGCAATGTAATTACGTAGTTCTTTTTTTTAAAGCCACTATAATTAGTTTTTCTTTTGAGGGACCACTATAATTAGTTAATTTACGTGTACATCTTCTGTGTTTTTTTATTAATATACACTTTGCATCGCATTAGTTAATTGTAGAATCATTGGCTTGCATTTGCCTAATAATATCAAATGGTGTTTTCCCTTTATCCATCGAAATCGAAGGATTTTTTTTTTTTCAATTTTTACCCTCCGCTCCTTCCCATACCCTTCATATCCCCAATGGTCTTGGTGTTTTCCCCTTATCCATCCAAATCGAAGGATTTTTTTTAATTCTCTCGCTTCTTCCCATATTCTTTCTATGTCAAGTCCGCGATTCGTTTTGAATCTTGAATCTTACACCACGAAGAAGTCTAAAATCCCTATTTTGATCATTGAGTCAACCCCAATAGTTTGCCTAATATTAAATGGGATCACTTATCAAGCAAAATATAAAAAATAAAACGAAATGGGACCAATAATCATATTCTATCTGGCCTAAATAAAAATTCTTATTTATTCAGTCATCTTTGATTTGACTCTCAAGACATTTTTTGTTTATTTTTTTCTCTTGTAATGATCAAAGTTAATTATTTAGCTAAATTTCTCCTAATTATTTAATAATTAATCTTTGACAAACAGGGATTTTATATGTTACAAGAAGCACATCTTACATTTAGAATTCTTTTATTTTATACATGGCATACATACATAAGATGCTCTGGATGCAAAAAAAAAAAAAAAAAAATTCATCACAATATAGAGGTCTTTCTTTATATATGTTTTTTTGCTACACAAATATTAGTATAGTATTATATATAAAAAAAGAAATAAAATTAAAATTTAGGGTATTATATAGAAAAAAAGAAAAAATTAAAAGGAAAAATTGTTCAAAACGTTCTTCACATTTTGCAACATTGACTTTTTCCGTCCCTTACTTTTAAAAGTGTAAGTTTACTTCCTTTACAAATTTATATTGGTCAAATTCAATCCCTATTTAGGTATTCAACTAATTTTTATTCGGAATTCACTATGTGCCTTACACGTGATCATTTTTTAGCGACAAAATTATCAAATCACATTTCATATAATCCGAACTATAGTTCCTCACATTTCACAAAATAAATTTTTTCTTCCATCACATTTCACAAAATGAAACTTTTCGTCCCTCATTGATCATGTGTACGAATTTTTTTTATAAACTCATGTTTATATCTATTTGATTTTATTGAACAGTACGAGTAGCATGTAATATATCTCTATTTGATTTTAGGTAAAATCAAATAGACATATATTACATGCTACTCGTACTGTTCAATGAAATCAAATAGACATAAATATGAATTTTCAAAAATAAGAAAAAACTATTTGTACACATGATCAATGAGAAATGAAAAAACTTATTTTGTGAAATGTGAGGAATGAAAAAATTTATTTTGTGAATTGTGAGGGATTATAAATCAAATTATGTAGAATATAATTTAACAATTTTCTCCTAAAAAATGATTACGTGCAAAATATGTGCTGAATTTCGATAAAAAACTAGTCGAAAAAATTAAATAAAAATCAAATTTAATCGATGTTAATTTATAAAGAATGTAAAATTATACTTTTAAAATTATACTTTTAAAAGTAACAGGCGAAAATAAGTTAATTTACAAAATGTGATACACCTTTTTTAACTATTTTTCCAAATTAAAATTAAGGGAAAACACGAGGGTTTACTGAAAACTCCATTAAAACAGAACAAACGGAGGGAGCTGTTTTCTGCAGCTTCCAAAACTCTCCTCTTTCTTCCTTCTCCAAACTCCGGCCATTCGTCTCCCTCACGTGGTGGTCTGACTCACTGAGTTAACCGGAACGAGTCTAGTCAAGTGAGTTCAACGCACAGACATGTATAGGAAGAAAGCTACGCTTCTTACTACTTTCAACTCTCTCGCAACTCTCCCAAAGGTACGCAGATATCCCAACTCTCAGAGCTGCATAAAGACCCTTGCTTTATTGTGTAATTTCAGTACTGCCACTGAAAGATCAGATTTTAGATCAGATTTTGATACCTCCACTGAGATTAATAGCGATTATTATGCTGATTATAAGCAAAACAATAATGGGTTTTATAGAAATACTAGTGGGAAGGTGGGAAATTGGAACGTTGGAGGAAATTATGGGCAATTTGAGGAAAATCCACATGGGTTTTATGTTAGAAACGGAAATCAAACTGGGGTGGTTTATCAGCAAAACCCTAGTAGGGTTTATCCCATAAACCCTAGGCAGCAAAACCCAGTTGGGAAAAATGGGGTTTTTGCAAGTAATAGTGATAGCAATATGTCTTTTGATGGCTTTAAGAAGGGGTTTCAGCCGAACCAGGAAGAGCGAAATGGGGATTTCATGCCTATAAATGAGTTTCAGCACGGTTCAGGTGGGCAAAATGTGAATTTTGGGAGGGAAAGCTATGAAAGTATGCAACAGAATTCAGGTGCAATTTATCAGAGACGAGAGGGGGGAAATGGGAATTTTACAAATGGGCATTTCAGAGAGGGCCACAGAACTCAGCTTCAGCAGAGCTCGGTTGGTAGAAGTGGGAATTTGAGTAATGGGGGTTCAGTTGGGGCTGAACGGAATCTAAATTGGAATCACAGAACAAATCCAGCATTACAGACGGGCGGTTTCTCTGATGGTTATGGTGGAGCGTCACAGCATAATGGAATGAGCCATAATGTGGGGAAGGTTGGAACTTTGCAGCAAAATTCTCAGAATATTCATGCTGGAAGACCTGGAAATATTGAACAAATGCAGGGCAGCTATGGTAATGCAGGAATGCGTCAGCAAATTATAAGTGAAGATTTGAAAGCGGGTGATGAGTCAAGTGGAAATTATGGTGATATGAATATGACAGGCAGGATTGAGGAGCTTGATCATTACGTTGAAGAGGGTAAACTGGAGGAAGCAGTGAAAGTTTTGGGGTTGTTAGGGGAGCAGGGTATCAAAGTTGATTTGCCTCGTTATTTAGCCTTGATGACTGCATGTGGCAAGGATAAAGCTCTTGAAGAGGCAAAGTGCATTCATCAACATCTTATGAGATCGATACCTAATCTTGAAGTTAGTACTTACAATAAGATTCTTGAGATGTACTGTCAATGCAGAGCGATGGAGGATGCTTATAGTATATTTGAGAAGATGCCACAACATAACTTGACTTCTTGGGACATTATGATTGCTGGGCTTGCTAAGAATGGTCATGGAGAAAATGCCATTGAATTGTTCACGGAATTCAAAGAATTGGGACTGAAACCTGATGGTCAAATGTACCTTGGTGTTTTTAGTGCATGTGCTGACTTACTTGACACCACTGAGGGCATGTTGCATTTTGAAGCAATGAGCAAAGATTATGGCATTGTTCCATCCATGGAACACTACGTGAGTGTGGTGGACATGCTTGGAAGTGCAGGTTATCTGGATGAAGCTTTAGAGTTCATTGAAAAGATGCCAGTGCAGCCAAGTGTGGAAGTCTGGGAAACTCTGATGCATCTTTCTAGAGTTCAGGGTAACATGGAGCTTGGGGACCGTTGTGCTGAGCTTGTAGAGCTTCTGGATCCATCTCGACTGAATGAACAATCAAGGGCAGGTCTCATACCATTCAAAGCTTCAGACCTTTCTAAAGGGAAGGAAAAGAGGAAAGCTGATGGTCATAATCCTCTTGAGGTTAGGAGCCGGGTCCATGAATTCAGGGCAGGAGATAGATCTGATCCTGATCATGAAAAATTATATGCACTGCTTCGGGGACTGAAGCATCAAATGAAAGAGGCTGGTTATATTCCAGAAACTAAAGTTGTGCTCCATGACATTGACCAAGAATCGAAGGAGGAAGCTGTGCTCGGACATAGTGAGAGACTTGCTGTTGCCAAGGGTCTCTTAAATACCCCTGCTAGGTCTGCAATGCGGATAATTAAAAATCTTCGTATCTGTCTTGATTGTCATAATGCTATGAAGATTATCTCAAAGCTGGTTGGTAGGGAACTTATTATGCGAGATGCCAAGAGATTTCACCATTTTAAAGACGGGGTATGTTCTTGTCGGGATTATTGGTGAAGACCACTTTGAGGTACTATTTAGATTCTTCTTCATATGATGGTCAAGTAACCTCTAACTTTAAACTCTCTTAGCATGAGAACACATCTAGATTCTTTTTTGAAAATATTTGTTACTAAAGAGTGTGTTCCCCTACTTTCCTCTAGTGCACACTGAAGAAATAGAGATGGAAAACATGGCAGATGTATATGGGAACAGGAATGGGTCTTTCATTTGGCTCAGTATTGTTGTCCAATCTTTCAATAGTCAATTAGAACAATAAATATTTTTATATTCTTCATTAGCATTTGCATGGGGTAATATGAACTTGTTGACAGGATGATTCTCAAAGCTTATATCTTTTGAAGACTTTTCTCTGATGGACGTTGGTTCCTTGAGGTCTGGGAATGTATTATGAGATCAAACTGCATTCCTGATTAGATAGCCTCGTAGCGTTCCATGTTAGAAGTTCCTGTTAGCTTGTGGTGAAGTTTTGACTGTTACTCATTCCTTCTGTCTTTAGTGTGAGGAGTAATTTTTTTTTTTTGTAGTTCCGGTGTGAAGAATCCAACCTGACTTGTCTAGAATCTTGGATGAACTTGGAACAGCTCTAGATAGATAAGATACTTCTTATTTTACATTGTGGAATACTTATTTATGTAGGATATGTAGATCATTTTATTGATGTAAAGAAGCAGATTATACATTTTGAAAGGCATAGTCCTTGAATTAACTTGAGCAGTGAATATCTTATCTGGAATCCTTTTGGTCATTGCATACAGTAGCAATATAACATGTCGTGCAAGTTTTGTGTTCTGAATAGTGGCTTTGGATGGATACTTAGAGAGTGACCGTTGATTTGTTTCTGTTGGTAAATGTTGAAGAAATATTCACCTAGGGGCAGATAACTAACTAAAATGGAAGGATTTGGAAGTTTCTCATATTGGATTTATTTCTTTCTTCAACCAGAAAATCAATCCAAAGTGTACGAGTGGAAACTTGTTAGTGCATTCAAGGGTGTACCCCTGCAACATTTATGATATAATAATAGAAGAGCGTGTCATTATAATTTACAGTAAGTATTTATAAAGTGTACCTTGACCAAAATCCTATTAAATTGTTGCAGTAGCCTGTAGGAGCTCTGGATCTTCTTGCAACTTCCAATATCTAACTACTCTTAATAGCAATAAATATATCAGACAGATTTTTTCATCTAAGTTTCTGGGAAGAGGTACAAGAGTTTCTTTTGCCAAATTTAAGTGAAGATTAAGCCAATAAATTTATCTTCAGAATCATCTTTAGTATGTATTTTCTCACAACCTATTGGATTTCAACCTGCCAAGTTTAACTGCATTACCAACTTATTTAGTACTTGATCCAAAAATAGGCAGTAAATCAGTAAGACAATTATCAGAAGGCAGCCCTGCAACAAAGAGGATTCATGTTTATTCAAAATTTACGAATCACATTACTTTCTTTAGTATGGATTCTTGGTAAAGCACAAGTGCCAGAGTACATCAATAAACTTCAGAAGCTTTGTTTAGACCAGAAAATAGAGGGCAATGAAACATCATGAAGCTATAGTCCTCATCCTATCCACAACATTTTGTACTGAACAATTAGTATTTGAATCTGATGCCTCTGCCCCAGCTCATGTATTCGGATATCAGAAGGAAATCAATAGAGTTGATCAAATTATTCATTCATGGCGGTGTGGCTTGGGTGAAGCAAATGAAGGGAAGCTTGTGAGCCGTCTAAGGGAGGGGCCAGCTCCATGAATGTACTACTTGTTGGTTTATGCCTAAACTAGCTTTTGTTTGGGATATTGAAGATATTAGTCGTTAAGAACTTCTTGGTGTTATGTTTCTTTTAAGCTAATATAATAACTATATTACCTGTGCGTCTCCTTGGTTGCTTACCTTACCTGATAGAAATTGTGTCTTACTGAGTTTCAGACTTTGCTCTGCAGATGTGTTACTCAATGTGGTGCCTCTCTCTCTCTCTCACACACACACACACACATGCGTGTGTGTGTGTCTGAAAATTTCCAGAAAGAAACGGAATGTGAAAACAATTGTATGAGCTTTTTGAAGCAGAGATGAAGTCTGCGTGCTTAAATTCATGGTGCATAGAAGAAACAATTAGTGTGTTTGGATTGAGAAGATTTGAAATAAAATAATTTGCTTCACAAATTCCAATCACCTTTTTATCTCGCATACATCACATCACAAAAAGTGCTACAGTAATTATCTCAAATAAATCATCCAAATAAACTCCTATTGGGTGGAGCCCATGGACACTGAATGACATTTTGCATATTGGCTATCTACATACTAAATTGCCATGTGCATTCAATAATTTCTCTACACCTTATTAATTCGTCAGTTGGCCACGGAAGTCACTTATGGGCTCAGATTAAGTTGAAGGGATTTCTGAAACTGTTTGGAAAGAAACTTTTATGGCATTTTAGATAATAGATAGATTATCATTTAACAGATCTCTTAATCACAGCCAATTATTCATTTCCAGAGGGGGCATGTATAGAAAAAATGGTATGAACTAAGAGCCGAAGCATATGAAGTGGTTAGCATCTCAGAGAAGAAAGCAAGAGAACAAAATATGTGAAGGATTTGGTTATATCTAAAGAATAGATGAAGGAATTTGAGCTTCTTGTCTTTTGTTTTATGACTGATTTGGCAGTTATCCAAATCATTTCAGGTTTTGGAACAATAATCTGTGTACTATAAGAAATTATGCGTAATCCATTTATTCTTTCGAAAGGAGTGCTTTTGCTGCTTAGTGTGCTTTCTTTGTTGGTGCTGGTTTTCTATTCTAGGTGTAACAGAAGTAGCACTGACTTTTCATCAGTCATTATTTAACTGCCATTTGTTTGTGTAATTTAATATAAACCCATTCTGGTCATTCCAACCTTATGGACAGGATATATACTGGAAGTTTGGAAGTTGCCTGCCATTTCGCAGTCTGTATGAGTAGTGTTTTCTTTCTCATGGTTTGAATTGAAGTTGCTTGTCGCCACTGTAGCTTTTTTGCAATCAAAGCCCAAATTGTTTTTCCCAGAAAACTCAGATGCTCTGCTCTTCTGCTAACCTTATTATTTACATTTGATAGATGTTGTTGAAGTTTCTGTCCCGTAAAATGCTAAAATCCTGCCTAGTATATATCTTTTTTCTTGTTTTCCCCATTTATCTTCTTTTTTAGTGCATCTAATGTGATCTTTTTTTGGGTCCTTTTTTTGGGTCCTTTTCTTGAACATGTTTTACTTGTTATGACATTTTGTTTGGTTGCATGTGACATACTATATGTCGTAATGTTCTTGTTTCTAGTCTATTTGGGTTTACTACTCTGCCTACTATCTGCTTTGCTTGGTGAATTTGCTGCTCTCCACCTGTGATTCCCACTGCCATCAATGGTTTATCTTTCAACCATATTTCATTACCCTGGCCTGGATGCATTAAGTGAAATTGGGGATTCACCTTATTGCCTATTTTACTATGTTAAAGTTCGGCATTACTTTTTCTGGGGTTATTTTGAACTGTTTGTACTCTTTTGTCAGTTGGCATGCATAACCATGTCTACGATTAATCAGATTTTCGGCTGATACCATTACTACTTCTCTGGTTTCTGTGTTATAGGGGGAAATTCATTCTTGTGGGTCTGCTTCATTTAGGCTTCTGGTAGGAAGATCTAGATGTTCAAAACTATCTACTGAAGTGAAAGTTAATCCTTGCAGTACTAAGTTCTTGGCCAGTTGCTGTGCCATAAATTATAAATTTGTTTCGCAATTTAATTAAAGCAGCTTAATTAAGGTTTTCCCTGATTTCTTAAATGGCTTCTTTTGATCTGTCTTGATCCCTTAGTTTTTTTTACTTTTGACAATGTGTTTTTCAAGGAAGATGAGTATGCTACTGCAATGGAACGAGGATTGTTTTCTAAGACTAGGATGGCTGGGAGATTTTTTTCTTCAAAGAATCAGTAGTGGTTCTCCACTTACTCCTTGACAAGGTGAAATGTGCTACCAATTAGGCTGCGTTTCGTTGTCAATGACCGGGATTCTTGAGAAGTGCTCCCCGAGTCTCGTAATCAGGTTCACTATTACAGAGTACATAGTTTGACAAAATTTTCCAATGAGAACAATCATACAAGGGACGGTATACTTGGTATGAGGAGCCTGACAGCAACTAGTATTGAAGAGCTTCTCCAATTAGTCTTGAGAGTCTTGGTCTTTCTTCTCCAGTTCCAGGGTAACTGGTGAGATTCTCCAATTTCAGCCTTCAGAAACTGTGAAGGCTTTCTTGAGTAGTAGTAGTAGCAGTAGTAATGGTTTTGACTCAAGGGCCAGGCAAATCTCATGGGCAACAGCTTCAGTCCTGACAAACCAGTGATTTTGACTTCCTTCTCTATTCCTGCAAAAGTCTTCCTGTATCACCCCACTTGTGAATGGGATCAGAAAAAATTCTCAGAAACTTTCAATCTCTTATAAGTTGATTGCTTTATGTAAGCCTAGTAGTAAACTGCGCATAAGTGGAAGAAGAAGTGTAGAAAAGTAGAAAAGATGAAAATGAGAAGTCGATTTCTTTAAATCGAATTTAAAGTCAATTTTTTGGAGGAATGGAATTTAATCTTAATTTATAAATACTAATTGATTTCTACTATTTCTTCGATTTTGGAATAGATTGCAATATTAATGTAGATAACCCAAATTATCACATAAATCAGAAGTTATCAAATATGTTGGCAAATCACATTGTTTGGATTGAGATGATTTCAAATAAAATAATTTACTTCACAAATTCAAAGTAATTTTTTGTCTTTCCAATTTCTTTTTCATCTCACATACATTATATCACAAAAAGTATTAAAGTAATAATTTCAAATAAATTATCCAAATAAACTCTTATACAAACAAACCTTTTAAATTTATCTTCTACGGTAGTAGCAAGAAGATTAAATTTACGAAAACATTTTTATGAGCAGGAAAAATTTCATAAATCCAGAATTTAGTCAAAAAGAAAGAAAGTGCAACTCACAAGTTTTTTTTTTTTGGGGGAGCGGGGGGGGGGGGGGGGAGTATTATTACCTATACCAAAACAAAGCTGAAAAATAAGCAAGAAGTAAAGAACTTGATAGTTGAATCATGATAACACTTATATTTAAAAAATGTTTACATTAAATTGCAATTATAAAGTTTAAGTAAATTTTGATTCTAAATTGTTTGGTGAATTAAATGTTCGATTCAAATTTTCTTAATTCCCTTACTTCTTCTTCGCTTCTTAAATCTCATTCCTCTCTTGCTGAATTTTTTTTATTTTTTTACTAAAATAAAGTCTAGACAGTCTAGTGAGGAGAAAAGGTAGGGATATTTTTTCTTTTCTTCATATTGTTTCACACTATTCCAAACCAAAATGCAAAAAATTCAGGGGCCAAACCATCATTAGGCAAAAATTTGCAGTCAAAAAGATAAAAAAAAAATGAAAACACAATAAATCTATGGCTCCAAACGACGCCGCTTTCTACCGCAATCGTACCGAATGAGTAAACTTTCCCAAGCACTAAATTCATTCAAGAATTTTAGAATTGCAATGGAGTTTGAGGGTTTAAGGGAAGAGAGAGAACAAAAGCCATGGCGGGTTCTCGAATTCTACAGTGGAATTGGCGGCATGGTACGGTTATTACTATTTTAATTCTTTTATATTTTCTCAGAATTAATTTTGATATTTTTCCCTTTTCGTTTTTGGGTTTATTTTTGGCAGAGATATTCATTGATGAAGGCAGGAGTAAACGCAGTAGTTGTGGAAGCATTCGACATAAACGACGTTGCAAATGATGTTTATCAGCATAATTTTGGCCACCGGCCTTACCAGGTATTGTTTTAATATCCAGGAAGTTATGGTTTTCACTTTAGCAAATGATTTTTGTTTTTCATCCGATTTTATAATGTACACTAAAGCAGTGATTAGCGTCTGTTTTTGAGTTAGTTGGAAAAGATTTAAATAAAAAAAATAAAGGGTTTTGCTTGATTCAGTCTGTATTTTCTTGCTATGATATGTAACGTAGGTGCCTCCCCTTTTTTTTTTGTTATTTAATTTTTAATTTAATTTGAATTTTTTCAAAGTTGTAAAATTTGATTCTTTTTGGATGAGTTTAGGGCAACATTCAATCTCTAAGTGCTGCTGATCTTGATAGTTATGAGGCCGAGGTGTGGCTTCTATCTCCGCCTTGTCAACCATACACTCGACAAGGTGATGGATTTGCTTCTTTTCGTTGGATTTTGTTTTTGTTGAATCTTTGGGATGTAGCATTGCTCTTGTAGAATAGAATGCATTTTTGAGTTTGTGTTTTAGTTCAGGGCTTCAGAAGGGATCCAGTGATGCTCGGGCGTCCTCTTTTCTGAGGATTTTGGAATTGATACCACAAACTTCACAGCCTCTGCTCATGCTATTTGTTGAGAATGTTGTTGGATTTGAGGTGCATTTGACAGAATTGATATCAAAATCATGGATGGTTCTTAAGTTGTTTGAGTTCGTGATTGATATGCTTTTCCTTTACATGATATGTCTATTTTTTTTGGCAGACATCTGATACCCATAAGAGGATGGTTAAAATGTTAGAAGAAAACAATTTCATCCTACAAGAATTTATTTTGAGCCCATTGCAGTTTGGCATACCTTATTCTCGGCCTCGATATTTCTGTTTGGTCTCTCTCTCTGTCTCTCTCTCTCACAACTACAAGTTCATGTATGCATATTCTCTTACTAAACAATTGATATTATCACATTAGAATGTTCATGAAGCAATAATTGGATGGGAAGCTGATAAATCAGTTGAGCATATGTCAAGTTAAGAAAAAAAATGACTAATAAGTGCTAATGCCCATAGTTGCAAAGAACTCTATCCTCTGATGATTAAGTAATATTTTTGAATTTTTACCATTTGCTAGGTGGTTGCACTCCGTGGTTCAAAATCTTAACTTGTTTTAAAATGATTGAGAGAAATGATAGATTGAGTAAATTAAAAAAGACAGTGAACTAAGAAGCAGTATAGCTCCAAAATATGAAGTTCATTCACTCATGTGTTGCATTTATTTTACGACTTTTTGGTACTTTTATGACTGGTTTGTTTTGCAAATTCCATAAATAAAGAATAGAAACTTACAGAAAAGAACTTTTCTTTTTTCACCTGGAGTTCTCAAAACAAAGAGTAACTTGCTGACATCAAGTAACCACATTTATGTGGGTGCCTTTCCTTTCCAAGCAGATTGGTGCTTAATTCTTATGACTGTTAGTACTACTTTGCTTTATTAGATGATGTTGTACCGGTAGCTTGGTAAAGTATTGGTATAATGTACTACCTGATAGCTTCTACAAAGGCCTTTAAATCATTTGTGCAACTTCTTGTAATTAAGTTCTACTGCAGTTTCAGATTATCTTTTGTTTTTAAAGCATGCACATTATTTTATTTGTCCGTGTTCAAACATGATAAAACTATTTGAATATCTTTGGGCTGCAACCCCTTGGCACTAGGTCCGTGGATTATGATCTATAGATTTTGTTCTTCAATAATAAGGTTTCATGAGTACATGTGCATTTTACGGTGCTTGGTCGCAGTCTTATAAGTGAAATTCCATTCATGCTGCAGGCCAAAAGGAAACCTTTAGCCTTCAAAAATCCACAATTCAACAATCAACTTCTTTGGAGTCCCGGTCCACTGTATGAACAAGATGATCAAAAAAGCGGCATGGTTGACCAGTCACATGGAATTTTTGATGACTCAATTAAAGCATGTAGGCCTATAGAGGATTTTCTTGAGGACAAGGTGCCCAGAAACAAGGTTCATTCAGATTATTGTACTTTGCTGGCTAATATTTCCGATTTATCTGAGCAAACTGATAAAAGAAATGGTTGTAGCCATAGCTCCTTGAACACATATCTGGTCCCATTAAGCTTAGTAGAGAGATGGGGCAGTGCCATGGGTATCCATATGAACCATATCATAACAACTTTTTCTTTGATAGCTTCTCTTCCCAATCACCAAACTGCTTGTCAGTTTCCTTAAGAGATTGCAGATATCGTTTTTCCTGCATCGAGACGCTGTTGTTGTTTTACGAAAAGCTACTACCGCTTTGTGAAGGGTACTGGTTCCTTGTTGGCAACCAATCAGGTATTGTCTTTTCTAATATATGTGTACTTTTCTAATAGATGTGTACCTTTGTGAAGGATTTCTGTAGCATTATTCTTTTGTTCTAATTTGTGCTAATTCAAACTGTCAGAGGGTGTTGGCTTTTCATGTTTTAGCTTCTTTTTCTTCGTTTCTAATTATTACTTTAACATTTTTTAAAATTTTGTTCCTTTAATTTGTAAATTTGGTATTAATTTCCACTTTGTTTTATCTCATGAACAGTCCTATTTGAAAAGTTGAAATATCAGCCTCCAAGTCATCCCGGTTTACTCCCTTTGGAGCAGATATAGATTTCATTTCCAAAGCTATAGCTTCGTCTCCATCGTCATTTATCTGTTTAAGTTTGAGAAGAGTTACTTAAGAATGGGATTTCTGCATAAATGGCTAAGACATGCTATAAACTATTAGCGTGTTTCTTATATTGTGTGTATTTCTGGACAATAGGTTAGTC